CCCAATATCGCACTTACAGAGGAAGTCAAATAAATTATTTGTCAATAATACCTGTTGATCCCATACTATTTATTTAAAATAAAGAATAAGATCTACGCATAAATCATGATATTAAATCCATGGAAATTATATTTTTGCACAACTAACACCTACCAACTATAGGGTATAAAGATATCAAAATAATTTGAACAATTACTTTAATATATTTTGCAACCTATTAATTATCAAATTTATACTCTTAGATGTGAATAAAAACTGGAAGATGTAGTAACATTAGCTGCCTTTAAACTAAAAGAAATCCTATATGCAGAAGTAGATAATGAATTTTTTAATGTTACTTTTCTTTTAAATGTATTATAAAATAAATCAAAATATTGCATATGGAAGAATTACCTTTTGAAATTAAAAGTTAAAAAGCTATTAATATAGTTAATAAAGCAATTTGTCCCCTTTCATAGATATAATAATTATTTCTTCTTTCATTGCTAATAATTTATGCTATCAACTCTTCCATAGTAACACATTAAAACAAGGACGAACTTTCCATATAAATTGTAACTATATACTATTGTATTAATTGTTGATAGCATTATGCACTTCTTTTAAAATATTTGAAAAGAATTTGTGTGAACAAATCAAATGTATTTGCAGAAATAGTAAAACAAAATATTACTAAATGTTCCAATCTTATTTTAACTGTGGATTTTTATGTTGTCCTACAATCTTATTACGTAGCAAATTAAAATGCCCAACAACCTGGGACAATTGAGCTTTGAGAGAATCTGAAAGTTGCTTTTGTAACTGTTGAACCTCCAATATCTCTCGGTGAAGGTTTTCATAATCTTTTGTAACTTGATGAACAGACCGTAATAGACGAAGCACAGAGATCTGTTAAAAGCACAAAACAAACAGCAACTTAAAAATGGAAATTCAATTGTTTATCTTAATGACTGTCAAAAGGATCTACTCCATTAGACTTTTTTTCCATCAATTGACCAGTCAACAGTAGAAAACATGTAAATGATTCCGCTGACTACGATTTTTTATTTCAGAAATCTGACTCTAAAGCACCAAGCATGGAAGAAGTGTAAGTTGCGTTTTATTTCCGAGCATTGTGTCAATCAAAACATACCTCGCTGTCTGGATCTTCAAATTCTTTCTCAAAGGCGTCAATTTGCCACGCGATCATATCTAATTTGCCGTCAGCTTTTTGAACCTGTCGTGACAGAAAATTTACGAAAACACTGAATAAATGTTAGCCAGGGAGTGACAATTAACCATTGAAAATTGACCAATTTCGAAAGTTTCCGTCAACGTGAAACGTGGAAGATATACGAAACGTGCAAGTCGAAAATGATTAAGAATTGCACTTACACTTTGTTCGAGATGTACGATAGCAGATTCCATGGTGGACTGTCAAAAATAACAGATTATTTTATACGAAAAAACGTAACTAACAGGACGCTCGTACACAACCGACGGTTACTTTATCACGCTAGAATCGATATGCGCTCACGGGCACGTTTGAAAAGCGGCGAATAGCGGTTACAACCCTTTATTTACATATCCCAACGCATGGTGGCAGCATCGTCTACATTTTTCAAGCGCAGGCGTGCGTTTTCAATCAGACGGTGTACTTACCTATACTGATACACGATAGGTCCGCCTTTATTTGGAGAATATTGAAAACTAATCATTTTTCAGATATTTTACAACTTTCCATTTCATAAGCCAACTTTTGTTAAGCAGTACATACATGTGTATACACTCTTGTTGCAGTGTACAGATGACGTGATACTCCATATGCATTCAGAATCAGGATCTGAAAAACATCTAAGTTTCGTCTATATAAGACTACCATATGAATTGATATGAATTATGTGATAAGCTGAACCACAGACAAGGTGAGAAATAGATCAGTTACTCATTGTGAATTTCAAACTGAATTACCGATCTCGTAAATAATAATTAGTGGAATTGAAACGCACTCTTCAATGACGGTGACTCGGCGAACCACATTTAACCAAGATACCAAAGTCGATAACCCTACCAATCTAGTTTTCTGTTATCGATGAAAGAAAGCACAATATCATTTGAATAAATAAACTTTCACATGTGAATGGAACATTTAGATGAAAGCTGTCCTGACTAAGAATTTTAATTACAATGAATTTACTAAATCGTATAGAGTTTACTGTCTTCGTTTTCACCTGAAACACCATTGACCGTGTGTATAGATTATGTTTACAAGGGGAGACTAATGACGATGGATCGTCAATTATTTTACGGATAAGTGATGAGACTTATCGAAATAGTGTATCGTACTGCGAGTGTCACGTACCGATTGTAAAGTACGTGCCTTTTATCTGTCGACGGTAATCGCTTCTAATCACTATTGTTTATATTCCATTAATGTTTTCATTTTGAATTCAATCATTATGATGATGTTCTATGCAGTTCTATTTTAAGATATCTATTGGGTTGTATATATCTGTATATATCAGAGTGGATGAAAACAAATAAAATGTGTACATTCCTTAACAGGTGGAAAGGTTGTGGAACAAAATGGTACACATATAATTCAATAAATACACATCAAAATTTAAATATGTTTTTGAATTTTTTTTTAAAAATGAACTTTCCAGACAGCCCAATATCTATTTATCCTGTGCCTCTCTAAAATAAATAACAATCCCTGCAAATTATTTCGAGCCCAATTCTTATTTAATTATAATGTAGCTTTCTGTCAACATATGTAAATATTATCGTCTCATGGACGCCATGATTGTGACGTTCAATTCAAACGAAATTTCACGATGACCGGTAAAGCTACGGATTTCTGTTTATTGTACTTTGAAAACTAAACATGATCAACAGTCGTGTTTTGCTCCAGAACGTTACTGTAAACAATTTCAAAAGCAACTTACACCCTTTGAAAATTCGATATTGGTATGAGAAAATAAATTATGCAAACACATGGACGCATCTGTATAAAAATGCGTCTATGCAATATTTCCAAATAATCTATTCATTATCAATCTTATCAAAAACATGTGTATACTTTGATAACTTTTAGCCCACAATCAGGCATGCTTTTCATTTTATCGTTGTACGTGTACGATAATTTCACATACCTCACGCACCTAGCACAGTATATCATAATAGTATTAATATTGGACTTACCAATCGTAAATCATAATTATGGCAAGTCATACAAAAATTAGGACTTTTGGCCATATGTAATCTTAAATTTGTTACGTTTCCTAACCGACGATACATTTTTATGTAATACAGGCAAATTATAAAGGGACCAGCTCCGAAGGAAAGGAACTGCGTGCATATCGTGCTAACGAGTTTCGGTTCGGCGTGTTTGTATTTTTCCGGTGATCTAGTCTCATAAATTACATATAAAGAGCTATACGGCAGAGAAAGGCACGCAGGAAGAAATCGAACTAGGTCTGCTCTGCCATCTGTTTTCATCTAAAAACACAGAGAAGAGGAACCAGGCTGGCTGTAAAAGTAAAATCTATTTTCATTCGCAATGAATTTGCCAACGGACACGTTTACGATCTAGTACTGCGTTCTGGAATTTCGCGCAGGAATTCGCTTTACTTAGAAACACGTATTTCACAATTTTGTATCGGTTGTGGCACTAATTACTATTTACGTAAACTATTCTCCACAAATAGGAAAGCACTTGTACTTACAACTTTATTTTGCTTAACAACCTATTATAAAACCTTATAATTGTTATGGAAAATGTGAGATCTAACTTAGACTAGATACCTTTATTGTTTCAGGAAACAACGAAGGTGGCTTTAACAATTATTATGAAAAATATTAATTTAAATAGAGAGCAAAGAGCTATAATTCCACTATCAGTATTACTTACAGTCATCATCATTATGGAAAATGTGAGATCTAACTTAGACTAAATACCTTTATTGTTTCAGGAAACAACGAAGGTGGCCTCAACAATTATTATGAAAAATATTAATTTAAATAGAGACCAAAGAGCTATAATTCCACTATCAGTATTACTTACAGTCATCATATCATTATTATGATTGCATGTATCAGCGCACGCGGGAATGCAAGGCTATCGATCATTCGTAACGGATATTTACGTGTAAATAATAGAAGAGAGGCCTAAGCGGTTGATTGGATCTAGTGGTTCGATATATCTCATCAATTATCGAATGAGGGAGGGGGATAATGAATCCCTGAAAGATAAACGAGTGGGACACGGACCACGATCCGAGAGACTAGGAACGAAAGGTCTCTATAAATGGGTGCATGCGTACACATTATATCCAGTCGGTGGGAGGTCAGCCTTTCGGCGACAACGACACGCATCGCGTATACGGGACGTTTTTTCCACTCCTCCTTCCTTTCATTCCCTCCTCCAGCTCTTCCTATCTCCTTGTTATCCCCCAAACTCGTGCAGTGTATTTGTGGTATGTTAGGCCTACGCTCTGGTTACTTTGCACTCGTGTATTTACGACTTCCAAGAGATAATTGGTCCCCTCTAATCGGAACTGGTGTTTACAGGGCGATAAAATTCGTTCGATGAATAGAACGATGTTACATAAAACGGACGAGAATGCGGGATTAGTTGTAACGCCACTACGAGGATTAAAGGATTAAGAGATTTGAGAATTAAAAGAAACGCCGCGTAGGGGAACCTTTGGAGTATATCCGCGGATATTCGATGGAGAAAGGAACATCCTACTGGGAAGAACTGCGTTCCTGCGATTTATTGGTCGAAGAGTAATAGAAAGTTTACGATGAATTATAAGTATCCGCGTGAATGTGTTTTGAAACTTTCTCGACACGATTCTCGATGAAGGATTAATTCCTAACTATCATCAAGTACTATTTTCACACTCACTTCGATCTTTTGTGAACCAAATTGTTGGGAAAGTCCTTGGCAAATACTTTATGTAAATGCGATACAACTTTACACGAAAGTGCAAATTAGTGAGTGAAACGTTAAACGTTTGAAAATGAAACGCCGACTCGATAAATGTCACGATTTAGGAGTGATTAACCGAGAAGTGTTAATTGGTCGTTTAGCGGCCGAACGGTGAAATTAGCGACCTAATAATCACGTGCGATCGAGATGTCGGTGGACGCGTAAACACGCGAGAAGTGCACGTGACAAGCATCGTTCGCATTTCACTGGGAGACGCGAGGGAATGTAAACGCGATACTCATGAGTAGCGATGGGATCAAGTTCAATGGGTACTCGCGAATTCGAGTCAAGTCTAGTAAAGTTTACTAAGTAAACAAGGTTTCGGGGTTGGACTACTACTACTATACAAATCAGTAGCGGACATCAGTGTGGCCAGATAACTTGATATAAACATTCACTTGACTCTACTTGATTTCTTTCAAGCACTTCTTTCTAATACTCTACAATATCAATAAATGATAATATCTTACTTCATAGGTCTGAATATTATTCTTTTTTTAAACAAAAAGCATAGAAAAATCTTTTCGTGACTTGTCATCGTTTGTACCACAACAATCGTGCGCATTAGTAGACGCCGCGAAGCCTTTAGTACCCGCGAGCGTGGACTAAAGCAACAAATGTCCCTCGACAAATACGATTGGACAATTCCACAGGTGGAGGGGCTTATGGCACTTTTCTCGCGCGCGTATAATACTTGTAAGGTGCTTGATCCGATCGCTACTCGTGAGTCAGTCGCTCGTACAGAGCAGGTGCACTTACATCTAAAAGCAATTCCAAGGATTCGATGGAAACACCGAACTGCGTAATTTGAGCCGCGGCTTCCATAAAGTATTCGTTTGTTTAACAAACCGCCGTCGACCATAGAGGCGATAACATTGAACCGATATCCGGTGCGCGGTTTCAGTTTGGCGTGCGGGCAGGACGTGGCTTACCATGCATAAACATTAACATTCGACGCCGTAGACAATTTCGTATTCGTATAAATAAATTGTATATGCGACACGGGGGTTTGCGTTGCTCGAAATGTGGAGTGTGTTGAGAGGATTTCTGGAACAGTTCCTCTTGCTGGGACTGTTCCTGGTGATTTTGTACTGCTTCTTTACCTCGACCTTCGACTTCTGGGAGAGTCGCGGTGTGCCGTTTCGAAAACCGATCCCGTTCTTCGGCAATTTTGCGCCTATGCTGTTGTTTCGAAAATCTCTGCCAGAGGGCATCCAGGAGATGTACGAATGGTTCAAGGACGAAAGGTTCTTTGGAGCGTACCGCGTCAGATCGCCCTTGCTCATCCTGCGGGACCCAGACCTGATCAAGAATATCTGCGTGAAGAATTTCGCCTGCTTCGCGAATCGTGGTATACCGGTAAATTCTCAGGTAATGGATCCGACTGATGAAAATAAAATTAGATTAATAGAATCGAACATATATGAATTAAACGTGAAGTAACTAACATTGCTCAAGAAGAATTAAATCAATGTCTGTCGACGTGAGATAAAAGAGAATGCGGCTGACCAATTTATGTGACAATTTCAATATTATCCAGAGACGTGACGTTTAATGGCAGACTCATTAGGAACAGCTTTCCAGTCGATGACGAAATCCGGGACGCAGCACTTAAGTTAGATAAACATTCCAGCGGGAGTACGTGAGGGAGTACATGTTCGGGTTTTCAAAAAACCTCACTGTCCCTGTCTCTGTTTACATAGGACCCCAGAATGGTATACCATTGTATATCAATGTATTGCATATACCATATATGTGTTAGCACATACAGCAGGTACATGCAGGTGACCATAAATGGTATGCGCGAATGCAACCATAAAATATCCCATATATGCAGATGGCACCTAATACCTACATTGTAAAATCATAAAGAGTGAACATGTAATCTTTATCTTTCATCAGGATCCCCTGTTGGCTCACCTGTTCAACCTGGAAGGGAAGAAATGGAAGAGCCTCAGGTCCAAGCTGACCCCAGCCTTCTCTTCAGGCAAACTGAAGAGGATGTTCTACCTTCTGGCGGAGTGCAGCGAGGAGTTTCAGAAACTAATCGACGCCTCCGCCAAAGGCGATAGCCCGTACGAGGTTCGCGAGTTGGCGACGAAATTTACAATAGACGTCATCGGTAGCTGTGCGTTCGGCATACAAATAAATGCTGTCACCGACGAGGACTCCGAGTTCCACAGGGCAGCGAAGAAGCTCTCGAAACCGAGCTACACGACCACGCTCTGGAGGATGCTCAGAACCGCCATGCCTAGATTGTACAAGCTTTTGGGTGTCCAGGTGATCGATCCAGGGGTGACGACATTCTTCAAGGATGTCGTGTCACAGATGATCAGGCAACGGGAAAAGAGCGACGTCAAGAGGCACGACTTTATGGACTTGTTGATCGAGCTCAAAAATAAGGGCACGCTGGAAGGTGACACGGGGAACGGGCAAATCTGTAATGAAGAAGACGCAGAGGTGGCCGAGGAAATAGGTACAATTTAAAAGAATATAAAAATAAATGTTTAGAAATAACTTAACTATTGTTAAAGCAACAAATATGAAAGTACTGTAACGTAAAAATGTAAATGAATACCATTCATCTCAGTTATGCAAATTCAACAAATTTTTCGGAGTGTCACGATAGCAGATTAGCAAGTTTCGATTCTTATGCAATTGAACATGACACTGCAACTAATTATCAAGCATATCCCTCAGTGTTGAAATTAGCAAGACCTTTACTATCTATGCCTAAACGAAAATTTGGGAAGAAGCGCCAGGAAAATATTAAATTCTTAACATGCGCTGTAATAATCCATCTTTCGCTGTGTTGAATGTTTAAAAAGATATGACAGTCATCTACAATGTCTTAAATAAACCATCTAATCTTACGCTCAAAATGAATGATCGGTATTTTAACATCACGAATTGCCACTTTGTAATTATCAAGTGTTTTCTATAAATCGCTACCAATGGCTTCGAAATATACTGCATCGTACATCAAGTATGGAAACGAACAAACAGCCAAGACAAACGAACATAAACACTTCCACGTTTGGCTTCTGTAATGGCTTGTATCATTGCTGGTCAACTCAATTATGCCAATCGGAGAACATTACGTAATTGATAACTCTCTTCAGTCAATATACGACTTGTTCGTGCTCAGAGTAGCTACAATGTGCAGTCGTAAATGATACAGTTCTGTTACAAATTAATCAAGATAAAATTGACAGTAAGCACTTCATTCATAGCTATCCAAGAACCGCGTGGCCGCGATGGAACCATGCTTTACATTAACGAACCGTTTCGTTAACTTCCCACAAAGAAGGACTGTACGTTTCCCGACTTGAACTCCAAATTCATATTTTTAACATTTGCTTATCTATGAGGTATACGAAAAGGTGTACTGCTAATCTTATACCTGATTTATATCACTTCCTGATGAATGAATCAGAGATTAATAATGAAACAGAAAGTACACAGATTGGAGTACTATAAATCTATAACTACTTCGTTAATTCTGAATGTAAATACTTATTTTAATTCAAATTTCTGAGGCTTATTCGTTGTATAGGCGAACGATAAAGAAAGGAATAACTCCTATTGAATGACTTTATAGCTTATACCTTGGACGATAGAAGAAAAAATAACTCCTATTGAATGACTTTATAGCTTATACCTTGGACGATAGAAGAAAAAATAACTCCTATTGAATGACTTTATCACATAAGCATCGTTATTTATAGAAATGGACGAGAACAGTATTGCCGCGCAAGCGTTTGTTTTCTTCGCCGCTGGTTATGAAACTTCGTCGAACACCATTGCGTTTTGCCTTCACGAGTTAGCGCTGAATGCTGAAATTCAAGAAAAAACAAGACGGGATATTCACGACGCCATCGACAACAGAGACGGCAAACTAACTTACGATGCTGTCCAGGACATGAAGTACCTCGACATGGTGATTGCAGGTAATAGTCAACATAAATTAGATGTACCTCTTATATTTTCTGCCAAGATTCTGTAAACTTCATTTTTCAACATTCGTTCCAGAAACGCTTAGGAAGTATCCACCAGCTTCACTCCTCTCCCGAAGATGCGAGTATCAGTACCAAATACCAAATACTAAGGTCGAGTTACCAGCAGGTATGCGGGTTATCATACCAATTTACGGCCTTCACCATGATCCAGACTATTATCCAAATCCCTCAAGCTTCGATCCTGAGAGATTCACGGAAGAGAACAAAAGAACGAGGCATCCATACACATACCTCCCATTTGGGGAGGGACCTCGAAATTGCATAGGTAATATGCAATGTATTAGGTTGTCCAGAAAGTTCGTACCAATTTTTAAGAAAACTTCAAAGGCACATTTGAATTGTAACATATATTTATTGAATAACATAGGTATTATTTTGTTCCATAAACTTTCCACCTTTTAAGGGATGTACATATACATATGTATATGTTATTTGTTTTCAGCCATTTCGACATATTCAGACCTGCACTACCTATCAAAAATCGGCATGGACTTTCCAGACAACTCAATAGTTTGAATAATAGATAACGAATAAAAATTATTCATTGACATATTTAACAATTATTTTTTATTATTCTAGGAATGCGATTCGCGCTCTTGCAAATCAAGATAGGAATAATTTCGTTTTTAAGAAAACATCGAGTGGAGATCTGCGATAAGACGATTACGCCGTTGAAGTTCAGTAGACGCAGCCTTGTTACTACGAGCGAGAACGGATTCTGGCTCAAGATCATACAGTCTTCTTAAATCTGCAAATTGTATTTTACGGGGCACATTGGGACGCTTCGAAATTTAATTCCGTTTTTTTTTTACGCAACCCTGTATATGTACAAGACGAGAGGACGACTTTAAAAATAAAACCTGAACAATAGGTTTATTGCGTACTTAATACTAGTACGACCAGTGATTAAGCTTCAATATAGACGTTATTTTATTTTGTACTTGTAAAAATAACTTTCAAATATTGTTATATAAATAAAACATTTATATTTTTGTAAACATTTTATATATCTTACAGCAGGACTTACAATGTATTTGATGAAATATACAATGTACAGATAAAAGATATGTGGTACGAACTATTTAATAAATTTGTAGTGTGTAGTTCTAATGTTTCGTGTTAACTTTATTTATACGTCATTCGTGCAAATCAATAAATAATATAAATATGTTATGTGATACACTTTAACCCAGATGCTTTTTACAATTATTACTGCAGCATATTGCGAGCCAAAAAATGATTAATTTAACCGACACCTTCCTTCAATCAAATTATTATAATATCTCAAATGCCGTTATAATAAACATCCTGTACACGCCTATTACCTCGCGCTGCTAACACAAGAATGGTATTCCTAACTGTAAGCATTCCTACGCATTGCATGTATTAAATCACCTCTACTCAAATAAGGATCGACGTTCAAGCTGAACACATTAACAGCTGATCGAACGTCACACGGAAAAAGAGTTAACGTCCAAATCGTGTAGAATGATCCTCGCGTCATTGTCGATTTTTCGTTACATCGTATTGTTGTATTGATTACAAGCTCGCAGACAAGGCATCTGGTGCTTCTGCTTGTGCATTGTCTATTGGTGGCAGCAGCTTCAAGTCCAGTGCACTCTATGTTCATAGAATGATTTGTATGTAGGTATATACTCACTACGTGTACAAACATACGCACGCACGGTAAGGTCGTTTATACGCGACGGCCAATATTAAGATCGAAAATGTCATATCCTTGATTAGGTGACAGTGCTTTTTTGGAAACCGTGTCGTCTCTCTGCTTGGAAATTTTTGTCAGTGAAACATTCCGCTGAAAATAATGCTACGGTGAGCCGTGAATCTGTTTACGTAGAAATGTAACACTTCCGTCTCTTTAAATTGATAACGCGGGTTTTTAAACGATAAATTCTATAGCAATAGTACAATTTCCTTCCATTCACGCAAACAGATATTGCGATTTGTGATCAGTGTAAACACAACTCTTACATGAAGACAGTTTTTACTTCACTTATAACAGTGACAATTTCAAGAACTCGTCACTAATACAGGATTAACTCGTGCCATTTGATATTTATAGGAATTTCAGTTATGCGTTTATTATAATTATTGCTTTATAGTTCTGTTAATTGGATATGTTAGTATTTTTGCATGCACACGTCAAATATAGGTTAGAATGATAGTGTGTCTATGGAAATAAGTTTTCTTCTTTCTTTTTTTTATATTACATTTCTCTGAAGTGACTCTTTTGTATACGTGTATCATAATTCATATCGTAATTTATTAATATATTTATAAGTTCTAATTGTACATAAGCCTTGAATTTGTATTTACATCTGTATGCTTCTGTCATCCTTTAACAAGCTAACTGTTATTTAATTTAATTATAGATGTCACACTCCAATAGAAATACAGGTGCTCAAAGATCTGCGGTGATTGATTATGAACGTCAATTCCAAGAAGATCTGGAACATGCGCAAGCATTGAGTTTGGAAAGTCTTGCCTTGGAAAAATTTAAATTGCAAAAGCAACGTTCTGAATTTAGTAATATCCAACAAACATGTATTCCACACAATGATGTGGACAGAAGAAATAATATAATACATAGCAATGTGTCAGAAGCAGATAGTATACAGCAAGTTGAAACGTAAATGATATTGTTTAAACATTTGTAATATTATTGCATTATTGTTTCATTTATTATGTAATTATTGTGCAAGTAAACTACAGCAGAACTTTTTGATTTATATAAGTTATTGTATAATTCTAAAATATAATAAAAATTCTAAAATATGAAAGTATAGATTTCAGTGTAGAAGTCGACCAAGGCCTGGTACATTTAATACCAATCAATCTAAAAATGCTGTGATATTAGCACCACCACCAGTTCCATCTAGGAGAAATTCTACATCAGCTACAACAAGTCAAGAACAATCTATTGATTTGATCAATTTTACAAGTCCAGTGAAGCAAGATAATCTAACTGGTTACTGTTCACCTCCACCTCCACTACCGTAAGATTTTAATTATAAGATGTTTACAAGAGTATTGTTTATTTAAATTATTAATAAAAAATAATATTGGTTGCATAGCAGGAAATTATTGGTAGAACCAAAATGGGAAACACATCCCTCTCTACTAAAGAAGCAGGCAAGAATATCACGTAGCAGTAGTTCTGCAAGTTATCGCTCTCGAGACTTTCGATATCACTCACTCTCTCCTGGTCCTGGATCTTCCACTGCACCCTGTACACCTGGGACTCCAAAAATTAGTCCTATCATGTCAAGATCCAGTAGTATTAACAGTAATGTACCTGATACAACACCACAAGTAAGAATATGTGTTATTATACTTTTAATAATATTTGTTATTATTTAAATGTGTATATATTTTGTTTTTTATTCAAATAATATTTTTATGAATAAATTTTATTACAGCCTGCATGGAATTCTTGTGATTTAAAAAATTATTTTCTTATGCAGGTATATTGTGTTATAAATGTTTTAATGTGATTATCAGTTTAAACATATTAATTTCATGTTCATTTATACTTCCCTTCCATTAATAGAACTTCAAACTTTACATAAAATATAATAGTATCTTTTTTTTTAATTTTGTTTGTAGATACCTCCGTTACCTATGAATTACAGACCAAGTATTACTCATTCTGGATGTGGTGTTCAAAAGCCAGCATTTGGTACTGATGATGAGCAGCTAAGTGTATTAAAAGTAATAGAGAAAAAGCCAAATAATAATCTTATAGATTTGAGTTCTTTCGATCATATAGAGGATAAAACGAACGTTCGAGTTAGTGTACTCGAAGCATTTGATCCATTACTTGTTAAGACTGATGATCAGGTTGATATCGCACAAAGACAAAAAGATGGTAATGTTACATTGAAAATTTACATAAATATAAAATTTATTGAAGTGTTACCATGCATCTTACGGCAATATGTTATGTTTAAACAGAGGCACAATCACAAATTAATGGATCAATGTATGATCCCTTTGATCCATTTGATTACATGTACAGCACAAATGAAAGCGTTAATTCAGATCCAGTCTATGTTGCTGTAGAAAAGTCGGCTAAATCTCCAGCTGTATCCCCAGCCGCACCACCACCGCTACCTCCTAGAAATTCGTCTGCTTGGAACACCATTGAAAGAAGAAGAACTTCGTTAGATCGAAGAGTAATTACACTAAAAATTTTAATACGAAAGCAAACGAATAATAATTTTAATTCTAATCATATCGATTTTTACAGCAGAAGCGAAAGACACGCTTATATGAAAACGTAACAGTGAGAAAAACTAGATCATCGCTTCACGATTGTGATTTAAAAGCTTTTCACGAAATGATGAAGTCCGTACGAAGTTAGTAAAATAAATAAAATTTAATCTACTATGCTTTGCAACATCTAATCTTTGCGTTAATGCGTATGTACAGGTGATTTTCCATTTAACGATCCTAGTACAAATATTGGACACGTGATCAGTCCAATGATGGAGAATTTATATCCCAATGGCACAAGTATAAAATTGGTTGTACATCCGCAATTAATAGATTCTGATGATAATACTCCGTCCATTTCATTTACTTGTGACGGTAAAATTTTATATATTTACGAAGTGTGTTAAATCATTTTTAATAATGTAATTTATAATATAAATATTTTTTTTTACAGTAAATTGTAGCGTTGAACATGTCATTCTTAATGTTGCTTGTTCCTTAGAAGATGAAGATACAGTAAATATAGAAAAATATTGTTTGAGAGTGTGGGGGTTGGCAGAATATTTTGCACCTAACACGACTTTAGCTCAATACGAATATATACATCAGTGTATTAAATTAGAAAAAGACATTGAATTAGCTATTCAGACTAAAGCACAAATAAAAAGATGTATAGCTCGAACGGTAAGTACTTATTTGTAAGTAAAAATATTTGAATCAACTATCATTTGTGTCACGTATCTAACTTTTTCAATAGCTTCAGGATGATAATCGTGATCAATGTCTTAAATTGGAAGATATTCTTCCAAATGAACCTTTACAACCTATTTCGTACGAAACGCTGCTTATATTGCTAGGTATGAAGTAGGAAAATTCGTATCATTATATTGCCGTACAAAAATTGATAAAATATTAATTGAATAATTGCATATGTTTTTATAAAAATTACAGAGACCGTGGAAAATGAAATGGAACGTGTTGAAACTGCTGCAATACAATTGGCAACTACCGATCATAGTTCTAGTCTCTTACCGCAACTACAACCCCGCGGTGTTGTTCAAGCGGTAAAAGCAGTCTGTGCTTTAATGGGAAACATAGAAACATTTGAAATTACAGAAGCGGTCGATAATTTCGTGAATGCATGTTGTAAGTTCTTACCACAAGTTCACACGACGAATATAGAGTGCAAGAAACCTGAAATTCTGCATGAAGACGGTGACTATTCCGTTGTCACGTTACGAACGAAATTCCCCGACGTGATAACTTCTCATTGTCGCAAGATACGCGATGCGATTCAGGATCTCGTAGAAACTTACTGTCGTGCCTTCAAAGTTGATTTTGAATTGAAGAGCAAGGGAGAATTTCCGTCAAGTAAGAAGAACATTAAATATTGTTTTGTTAAATAATATGTCGTGAGAAAGTTTGACTGATCCATACTTTTATATAATAGATACATTAATTTCATCTGAAGAATTGGACACTGTATTAGTTCGCGTTGGCGCATTACATAGATTGCCAGGATCGTGGAAGCACGATGATTATATTGTAGCAGCTCAAATATTTCATGGAACTAGACCTGTTGGGAATCCAGTTTTATCCGAACCTATGGCCGTCAGTTCCAATTTTTATCCTAGAATTTTATTTAATTCATGGTAATGATTTTGATGCTAACTATTTCGGAGTTATAATCTATTTTGCGGGTCTAAATTATGGTTTATATTAAAGGTTGGAATTTCATGGAATAAGTGTATGTCAGGTTCCAAGGGAAGCTAGATTAGTGTTAGTTTTATACGGCCGCACATTACAACCTACTGAACACGAATCAAATTCATCCGAAGAGAATACTATGCACAAAGAAGAATTAGGTTGGGGATCAATACAATTTTTTGATTGTGAAGGGTAATTAACTATTTCATAGAAACAGGATATACCTTGTAATATGTTTTTTTATATATTTATTTTTCGTCATTGCAGTGTTATGAGTCAAGGAAGTTTCTTCTTATCTCTTTGGCCAGCAATCGCTGACAAAAGATTAGGTCCAGCTCCAGCGCCCGGAATTCATCCTCATGGGGATACACAACCTATTATTGGGTTAGAATTACCTGATTATGGAGGAAGGGTACTATTTCCTACAGAATTAAGAGATTATGATGTTCAATCTCTCGACTTTAATTCATTGGATCAAAATACGCAACAATTATTGATAGACATCACACAACAGCATACATTTTCAAGGTATCTTTACATAACCTCAAATAATCAGAATGTCTTTAAATACATGATTAATATTTATTTTTTCTATCGATAGACCACTTATCGAAGAAAGAGAAATTTTATGGGAGAAACGTCATTATCTACATGACAGGCCTGAAGCGTTGCCTAAAGTTCTTTTAGCTGCCCATAGTTGGGATTGGGCATGCTTGCCTGATCTCCATGCATCCCTTAGAGTTTGGAGTCCTTTGCCTCCGGTTCAAGCGTTACAATTACTATTACCTTGGTAATTATCTCTTAAGAATCTTTACATACATGTTAATAACCTCAATAATCATAGATATTTTATAGCTTTCCGGACATGAAAGTTAGAGAAATGGCAGTTGGTTGGATTCGGGAGCTGAGTAACGATGAACTTGTAGATTATTTACCGCAATTATTGCAAGCATTGAAACACGAAACGTACGAATCGTCTCCTCTTTCGAGATTTTTATTGGAAAGAGCGTTACTTTCATCGCGGGTGGCTCATCACATTTACTGGTTGTTAACGCAAACATTACCTGGACAGAGTCCTCAGGTACAAATGAAACGATAGTTATGAATAATATAATTTAAAAGCCGAGTAATTGTTTTAATGTATGTTTATTTTTCAGAATTTTGCTGAAGTTACGCCAGAAGATGACAAAAATATTAGCCACGCGCGCTACCATAGGAGATTACAGTTGATGTTACGAGCGTTACTTGCCGTTATCGGTGATGCATTAAGAAACAGCTTCCTTACACAGCAATTGCTTGTTAAGGTGTAATACATTATTCTTACATTGTATCATTAAGTGGATTTACTAATCGTAACAGTATAATTCATGTTCCTGCAGAATTTACATGAAGTAGCAGAAAATATCAAACTAACGAAAGACTCGATGCGGATGGATGCACTTAAAGTTGGTTTACAAAATATACACTGTCAGTTAATGGAGGATGATGGCACATGCTTACCGCTATCTCCTAGTAAACAAGTGTTTGGAATAAATGTACAAAGCTGTTCATATTTTCCTTCATATACGCTTCCGTTGAAAATCAACTTCATTAGTAGCGATGACGTAATTTGTCCTGCGATTTTTAAGGTATGTTTATCAGACGAATATCCGATACCTAGTTTATCCTAAGATTTTATTTTGGATCAAAATGATGTTAAAGGTCGGGGATGATTTGCAACAAGATATGCTAACCCTTCAAATGGTTCGTATTATGGATAAACTTTGGTTGAAAGAAGGTCTTGATCTGAAAATGGTAACATTTGCCTGTGTGCCTACTGGTCATAAGCGTGGAATGCTAGAAATGGTTACGAATGCAGAAACATTAAGAAAAATACAAGTTGAATTCGGCCTAACCGGTTCGTTCAAAGATCGACCGATTGCCGAGTGGTTGGCAAAGCATAATCCTTCGGAACTCGAATATGAAAGGGCCGTAGAAAATTTCACCGCGTCTTGTGCAGGCTATAGCGTCGCTACTTACATTTTAGGAATTTGTGATAGACATAATGACAATATTATGTTAAAAACGTCGGGTCATCTGTTCCATATTGACTTCGGGAAATTCTTGGGTGATGCGCAAATGTTTGGAAATTTTAAAAGGTAATAATACTGTGTGTATGGTTCGAAGTACTTTGCCGAAAAATGAATATACAATGAATATATAATCAGTGAATACAGTGATTATTCGTACCATTTTTTTTTTTAAATTAGGGATAGGACACCGTTTGTATTAACATCTGACATGGCATACGTTATAAATGGTGGTGATAAACCTTCAGCCAAGTTTCATCACTTCGTAGATTTATGTTGTCAAGCATTTAATGTAGTGCGAAAACACGGGAACCTTATCCTTCATCTTTTTGGTTTGGTATGTCCACTGTTAATTATATTGTTGGAGTTGGGAATATAACACTATTATAGAATAATATCATTCCTTTTATTTTAATATAATCACATATTTATTTGTTGTGTTGTACAATTATTCTATTAAAGACGCGGTTTATTTTTAACTCGATAATATGATAATGCGAGCCGTTATTCTTTTATGAAAACATCAAAACCGCAACGGAAGGACTTTATCAAAAAGTGGTCCGCTATCACGCTAAACTGTATGCGATGTATTGTTAATTAGTGTTTATCGTCCGAGCTCTCGTAATATCGTAATGTGTAGCAGTTTGAATCAATTAAGAGAAAAGTTAAAAGCGTTCGAGAACTAATAAACAACGACTATAATAATGGATACATCATGTAAAGTTATCTAAACACACTCGATTTAGACCCACAATATAAAAGAAAGCATAAAGATGGATAATTTATTATGCCAAAAGAATCATGTGTATAAACTGAATATCATACAACAAAAACTTAGTGATATACAAATAAAGGAATTAGTGAACATGTCTAACATGAATAACTACACGAATTCGCAGATGACTTCTTCTGGTATACCTGGTGTAACCGTGGATGCAGTCAGTTATGTACAAAAAGCTCTTCTTCCTGAACAAACAAATCCTGAAGCAGCTGCCACGTTTGCCCGAATGATAGAAAGTTCACTGAAAAGTTGGTTTACACAGTTCAACTTTTTCTTACATAATTTAGCGCAACTACGATTTTCGGGGGATCATAATGATGGAGCATTGTTATCTTTCATTCCGCGAACGTATACGTAAGTTTACCACAGTATTTCGTAAAATTGTTTATGATATTGAAAGCGAATATATTTGTGTGATTGTTGCAGAATGCAACAAGAAGGCCAGTTGACGAGTGTTCAAGTACACGGGTATCAAAAACGATATGACCCGGAAAAATATTACATGTATATTTTGCGTATACAGCGAAAAGGTCACGCAGACCCCACTTATTTATTCCGGTCATATAAGGAATTTTGTGAATTTTATCAGAAGCTGTGCATCCATTTTCCGCTTGCAAAAGTTGCTAGGTAAGTAAACATAACTTCACTTCATTTATTGACGGAGTTCATTTTTCTCTTTCTTCTTCTTCTTTTTTTTATGTATGTCTTCATTCGTGTAATTTGCTTCATTTTTTGTATAAATTATTTACCAACTTGTTCGTTCAGGTAATAATAATTTTTACTGACTGAATTTATATATAATCTATTGCTATTATTGTCCTCTACTTGTTGATAATTATGTTGAGGTATTTAAATGTTTAATATTAAAATTGTAAATTGACTTCCTCAATTTCTCATGTTCGTCATCATGTATAGTAGAGTCAGTTTGCGTAATTTTTCGGTAATATTCTGGTGTAAAGGGTTCCTTGTTTGATTTTTTTGTCATCGATATTTGGGCACGAAAGTGTTTAAGACCCATATCTGATACTTTAATGTCTTCCTCTGAAAATCACATGAAATTTAACGGTAAATATTTATTCCATATACTAAAAATATTCTAATTGTACATACCTGTAGAAATAACTTCTTTTTTAAAAAGATAATCCTAACACAGTTCGAACGTACAGTCGGTGTTCAACAATTATAAATGAAGAATGAAAATATATTGTATCATTATTTTTAATTGAAAAGTACTTCATACCTTAGTATCAGAGCTTAATTATGTTATCTTTTCCGATATTATCTAATCAGACCAAAGACCCGATATAAAAGAAATTGTTTTCGAAATAAAGTCCGAAAAGATAAATTACATTATTTTTGTTTCTAATGTTTATATTTTAAAAATGTATGAAATGGTATAATTAAATTAGTATAAATGGTAATATATTTTATGTAGCCTACCTAGTGGAATGAGCGTTGGAAGGTCTAATATAAAACAAGTCGCTGATAAACGTCGCGCGGATATTGAAAAGTTCCTCGTGAGTTTATTCAAAATGGCAACAGAAATTTCACAAAGCGATTTAGTATATACTTTCTTTCATCCTTTATTGCGCGATCAACAAAATGCCGATATTCATTTACGTAAAGTAAAAGGTACAGTGAAACTTGCGAAATACGATGTGTATCATGTAAAAATATATGCTGTAAATACAATTTTATTTTATTTCGATTAGTTGGCAATTGGTGGGCTGAGAAAATAGTCAGAGACGATGTACAAAGTGGACAAATTAAAATGTCTCTTCACTATACTCGTGGAACATTTTATGTAATGGTTCATCACGCAAGGGGTTTGCCCAAAGTAGCGAACGGACAAGAACCAAATACATACGTTAAAGTTTATCTTAAACCTGACCCAACAAAGAAAACGAAACGTAAAACGAAAGTCGTAAAAAAGAATTGTCATCCTTCGTTTATGGAAATGGTGAGAAATTTGGATAAATTAATTAATTTCATATTTTTCATCCTCAATCAAATATATGCTTTATATATAATATACTCCCTTGTTATAGTTGGAATATAGAATGTCTCTAGATGTTATCAAAGAAAGAACCCTTGAAGCAACAATATGGAACCATGACACTTTACAAGAAAATGAATTTCTTGGTGGAATACGCTTACCACTCGGACGTCTCGACTTGACAACGGAAACAATCGAATGGTTTTCATTAGGAAGTATTCGATGAAGGAGTATTCATAAGCTTAAGATGTCGTAATATTTATGGATATTAGATCTACAAAAATGGAAACCACAATTTCATCGCACAATATTAACGATAGCATTTCTATATCATGCACATAACAGTGCAATAAAACGAGTTGTGTCTGTAAAGGAACAACACCGACGCATGCCTTCACATTCAGAACACACGCTTCTTAAAACAAGTTAGTTAATGTCATAAAGTCTATTATAAAACTACATATATTTAACTTATGTAATGATAGGAAACGAGGCATATTTCATAAAGTTATTCTGCCTTTCCAAGAACTGCCAAAACGTTAAAAGTAAATTTTTGTTAATTAATAAACGAGCGTGAACTTTGCGTAGGGCATAATATTTGGCAAGAAGCGCTAGTAAATATACAATAATTTTGATTTATAATGGTAATTCTATTAGTCGAAGTTTATAAAAATGTTTATTTATATTACTTGTACCGAGAACTATTCTCTATCGATTGTAAATAGATTTAAAGTACGCTACACTATTTAATTGTAGCAGATTGAATACAATGTTTCCTAAATAGGTATGAGTTTTAGAATATGGACTTATACACGTATATATTATAAATTTTACTCAGATATAAGTTATTTGCCTGTTATAATAAGTAAATCAGGTGACAAATGACATTTTTTACTTTCGTAAGGAAATTTGGAATTATATATAAGAATAATCAAAATATCTTTCTACATACAGTAGTAAAATTAATATAGAGAGAAATTACGAGTCAGTGTGTATTATGAAATTTTTATTTTTATTCAACAAAGGAGAATGAAATTATGTAAATATGCTTTTAAACTTATCGATACGTTCATAATCATTTTATATATCTATTGTGAATATTTTAACACTACTTTATTAGGTAAACAGATATGAAATTATTATATCAAAAACGGAGGTTCGCGTTAATACATTACCTACAGGTGTGATTGTTAAGATATCGATTTGAGTTTACATGTACCTTGTCGTAATATTTTTGTAGCATCTTTACTACACAAAGTTTATATTTTTTGATATACTTGCATTACAAGGTGAATAGTTTTATGATCATAGTTCTTAATAGAAACGATGGTAATATAAAATATAAAATAACATGTCTGCTTCAGTCTCCAGTAGTTAGTGTATTAATGTTAATAATTTTAACCTAACCTTTTGTTATAAACATCAAATGCAGTGAAATAATTTAACAGTACAAGCTTGCATTCTTTCCTAATAATTCTACGGAATCTGATAATGTAGCTATATAATAATATTATAACTGTATGTGTATAAGCCTTCTGCTTCTGCATTCATTTTACGAAATAATTATTGATCAGAATGCTTTTGCATGTGCTTTCTGGTTTCTTTCAGTGGCAATATAAAATTATATAAATTTTAATAAATTATTTATAAATCGGATTGGATATTATCCAAGAAAATGTTAATTTGTGATTTGTCAAATTATTCTATCTAGAAGGTGACACAAATTGTCGTGATAATTTTACGACATTTCGATATGTTTATCTGTGCTAATTACTAGGTATTTTGACTCGTATACACGAATAATTTTGTATACAAAAATTGTATCGTTTCGAACATGTGTATTACGTCTTAATTTGTACTAGAACATTAAAAAACTGCATAACAAATTCTATTTTATGATTTTTTATGTTGGAGCCCTATGTTGATTATTCTGCAGAAATGTTGAGGGATCTAACAGGATCGATTAAAGGATTCGATTCATTCGTGTAATTTATGAGTAGTACATATAATAGTTCGTTTATACAACAGTTCAAATAAATATAATCTAGGAACAGAAGTCTTAGACCATTTTAGACATTAACAAATGTGCTAATTATGAATAAGTACAATGTACAAGTTCATCTTTATTCAAAAGATCAATTTGAATATATTTTAGTCGAGTGGCAAGTGGAAGCTTTCGAATATAATAAATTGTAGACTAACTTGGTAATATAAATTTCTTGGTTGTTGTTTTCTGCAGATAAACAAACTGAACAGTCTTTAATAGCATTCGAATAGTAAGTAATTATAAACTCTTGTTAATTAACCAATGCAGGTCCAAAGACTTTTTTAATTAATAATAAAAAATGAGTTAGTTTCTAATCTGAACGCTAGATAGCAGCACTTATAAATTAGTGCTGCCATCTATGGCAAAACGTCCAAGTTTGTCGTGATAAACTACAAATGTCGATAAATAAAATGATGATGGCGCTACTTAACACTATGGATAAAAACTAATTTTACTTCAAGCTTGGGCGTATCGCCGTAGATGGCGCCACAAATTTCTAATAGTCGCCATCTAGCGTTAGAATTAGAAACTAATTTCACGACAAGCTTGGGCGTTTTGCCGTAGATAGCGCCATTTATTTATTTTTATTATAAAACAATTAAAAAAACGATCGAAAACACTTGCAGGCCGTTTTAAATAAAAAATGACATTCTGAAAATCTAAAACTCTATTCATATTCCACAAAAAATTTATATTCACACCCCTCAAGCATAATGGATACAATACATTTTTGCTTTACGACGTGAATAATGTATTGCAATCAATGCACTTGCAATCTGTTTCACAGATAAGAGTGGAAAATAAATCTCCCAGCTCATTTAAGTCCTCAAGCGATACTTGTAACGAATAATTCAACTTTCAGTTAAAGATACTAAACACAAAAATGTAATATTGGTTTTTTTTAAATTGCTTCAAAAGAAGTTATAGTAAATTGTACTCCCATGACAATTTCATTCCAAGTAATGGACTACCCTTGCAAACTCAATGTATGTCCACATAGTTCCACACACTTCCACGTGTCTCGTGCATCTGGTATAAGTTACATGCTATCGATGAATCCGAACTCTCGGTGTGAGTCATTATTTTGAAAAGTTCTTTACTAGGAAGCCTCGAGAAGGGTGCCGTTGCAGAAGTTTCGTAGAAGTTGGACAGCGCATCGCGTCTCTTTCACAGGAAACTCGAGTAAGGGTCTCGTGCACCGGAACCATGGTCCAAGACTCCATCGAGACGTGAGTCAACTACATTTATGGAAACTTATTGCCCTTAGGCTGTGCCACACTTTTTCATCGAACGATAAACTAACAAAAAGTACTAGAGGGGTAAATGTAGGTGGTTAAGTTATTCATTCAATTTTTAAGATTACAGTTTCCTTAATTTAAGTTTCTTCTACTTTTATTTGATTTTCATTTAACTTCATTATTAATACAGATGCATTCTTTTCTTATTAAAAATGACTTTAAGGGAGAGGGATGTTTTGTTACACTGAGACGACTCATACGAGTCTAAGTTGCTTTCTCAATTTTTAGAGTTTTATTGTTTTCCTCAATTTAAGTATCTCCTACATTCATTCGAATTTAATTCAACTGCTGTATTAACATAGATGTATTTTTCTGTTTTCGAAGACGACTCAAAAATACAGTAAAAATTGTTATTCGATTCAACGTAATTATTAGACTGCATAAAATTATTCTATAATATAAAATAATATGGTAAACACGTACTAAACATAACCAAAAGGTGCGTGCACTTACACGAAATGAAATAACAATATTATTATATTAATTGTAGAATATATTCAACATACATTATGTATATTTCTTGTATGTTTGTAATATCCCTATGAATTACTCTCAATCTTACAAATTTATATTGAACCTACTTGCAGGAAATTATTTTTATCATTAATTAAGTTTCACTGAAGTAAACTAATCAAAAAATCTTTCTTTTGGTAAAAGTCAACTGTTTAATTCCCATTTCAGGATAATATTGCTACGACCAGTAGCAAGAGGGAAATTGCAGGGTATGAAATTAAATGTTGCTTTCAAAGGGACAATCGCAACGTTTTTTTGAAAAAAGAAAGCTTGGCAAGGTTTCAAGGCGGCGGCGAGGCTACGGTTTAATTTGGCACGACGTAGTCTTGGAATAACGCATAGTCCTTAGAATCTCTTAGGGTTGTAGGCTTCTCTGAAGATCGACCTTGGCCTTGGGTGACCTACTTCATTTTTATCGAGAATTTCCTTGGCATTATGCTCGGAAACGAACAGCCGACAGCGGCTCAAAGCCTTTGCCGGCATGAGTTTCTATACATATAATTCATTCTTAGGACAAATAAAATTAGTAAGAGATTTCTATTCTTAACAATGACGGTGTACATCGACGCAGAAGTTCATCCTTGGCCCTACTCGAGGAATAAAGGGCTGTTTACACTGCTCGTGACTCTTTTTATTTTCTAAAAGAAGCTTGGTGTATGTTCCCTTAACACGTTGCTCTTGACGTCACCCAGAAATGGGTGACAGCACTTTTCATTAAGAAAGTAAAGTAATTTCAAAGGTACGAAGAAGTGAATATAAATACGGTGAGGGATTCGTGAATTTGGCGAGGTCAAAAAAGTGTTGTAGATTTTTTGCTACAACTATTTCTATTCAAAATATTTTGTCAAAATTATGCAACAAATTTTTCTTTTCAAATTCAATTCTACACCATTTAATCCACCAAACCATATTTTCAAATGTTTATCTAGAAAATTACTGATTCCCACACGAGTAACTCCTTATTCCGTTACGAAGCTAACCCTAAAGGGAACAACCTCGTTAGAGGACCAAATATTATGAGTTTTTCAGGATTTTCTTTACGGAGAATTTATTTAATTTTTTGTTAACTGTCAGAATATTTTAGGAATATTTGGTGATACTTTCCAATTCATTAATTAAACTTTGCAAACATACCTCAAGGTTCTCACTGAAATTTTAAATCTCGCGAAGCTTATTATTTGTAAATTAAGTAAAAATTATAGAAAATATTTACTCCCTTAAGAAATCACAATCTGTGCAACGTTTGAAATTTTACAAACGCTTCGAAATTTAGAATGAATCCTCCTAATGGAAGACCCTCTGTTACCTCAAGTGCTTCGTAGGGCTTCTAAAGTGTTGATACCTTCTTAGCACGAACCTACGAACGGCGAAAGTGTGTGTTTTGATAAGCAACGTCTCGTAAACGCCTAACCAGCGTAACAATTACCCTCTCGGAGTTGTATGTACGAGGCGCGAGAGCAGGCATCTCCGTTCAGTGGAACTGGCGCGTTCTAAGGCTGACGCAAAGCGGATTAATGCATTCGCTAATGTCGCATCAACACGCGGAGTCTTCCCGAAACTCCTGACACTCGAGGCGACGCAGTCACCTCCCCTGTATCGGGACGAAGCAATTACTTTTGCTCGCGAAAATATTTTCCCCGTTTCCGACACTGCGCGCTTACAGAGCACGCTTCCAACGAAGTGATCCTCTTTGCTTCGTCCTTGCCTATTTAGATACTCTGGAAGGGAAGATGGGAACGGTGTGAACTGTCGTCTCGAATACTGGATTGTTGCTCCAACTCGGTGCTTTTCCACCTTTTTGGTCTGAAATCACTTTATTAGATGTGATTGTTAATTCGTCTTCTTTAATTATTGGGGCTTTAAATAGAATGATGAATTTTAAATGTAATAGTGGTTAGGTTTAGGTTAGGCATTCTGCAATCTTCTAAATTTCCTTTTAATTTTTAAGACCTTAAAATTGAACGATAATCTCCAATATAATATTGGTTAAGTTTAGAATAGGCGAAACTAAAGAAAAATGATATTTGTATTGACAGACAAAATATGAGATATCTACATGAAAATAAAATATTTTCTATAATTTTTACTTAATTTACAAATAATAAGCTTCGTGAGATTTAAAATTTCAGTGAGAACCTTTAGGTATGTTTGCAAAGTTTAATAATGAATTTAATAGTGAAAAGTATTAGGTGGTCCCAAAAGTTTCTTTCGCTTTATTAACAAGTAATACATGCACAATAGTTTAGGGTTTATGTTACATTACTGAATCGTGCACGATTCATTTTGCTCCATTACTGTTACAACATGAATATCTATGAAATTAGATTGTCTATTTATAGAAACACGATCACATAAAATAATTGAGTGCAACTCGCGAATGAAACTTTCGGGACAACCTAATATTACCAAATATTCCTAAAATATTCTCACAGTTAACAAAAAATTAAATAAATTCTTCGTGAAAAACTCATACTGAAAAACTCATAATATCTGGTGCTCTAACGA